GAGTAAAGCCTTAACGTCCTTTTACGTGTTTTTCTTAATTGAATATGTACAATTTCTCATGAGTTAACAAAATTTATTTGATTTTATAACTCTAAAATTTACATCCCTCGGGTATAAAATGCTCTAGAACCGCCTCTGCGTTCTGGACAACAAATAATGTTTTAATACATCTAATCAATACGACAGAACATACTTTTATTAGTAATAGTTCATTTCCACCACATAGGCTATATAAGAAAAAATGTCATGCTTTGGTATCGGTGAAATTGACAAAAAGTCGAAACTATGAGGTTAGAGAGGCTATCAGGGTAAAATCTGACGAGTCGATTTTCTTTTTGTCATAATTGTGATTTTTATGTCATAATTATGAATTTAGATCTCATAATTTCACATTTTTGCTACATTTTCAACGTATCTTAATTATGGCTTGCCTAAGCATAAGGAATAATAAATATTGTATAATAAATAGGTTATAATGAATATTCTTCACCTCACACACAGTTTAAGTACAACTTTTATTAATACTGGAATCATCACAGTGTGTTTTGTTACATTAGCTGTGACTAAACTTAACAAAAATTAGAAGGATAACTATTACCAAAAAGGAAACGATGTTATCAGCAACAGTGTTAAATTAGCCGTAGGAAAACAGCACAATAACTTAAAGCAGAAGAGTAAAGAGAGAAAAGCAGAAAGAAGAAAAACAGAGACAACAGCACCTGTAGCGTTACTCAACTTCAGTCAGAGGAGGAAAGAGGAGGGCATGGGGTGGAACAAAAATAATAATAATGCACACCTCATATCTTTCACACCAGAATGAAATAAAGAAACATAATCAGCACACCGGTTAGATTTTGAGCTGTAGAGCCTGATGTTTGGGCTCTGTTGAGCTGCATGTGCGTGATGCTCCTTGAATGAGAGCAGCTAAGATAAGAAAAGGCTCGCAACTCAGACTAACACGGCTCAGTTTCCATGACACCCGGTTGCCAAGCCATCCCTACGCGAGCTCGCTGTGGAGACAAGAGCGAGGGAAAATCGCGGCGTCGTGGCTGAACCGAGCGTGGGAGACGGGTGTCTTTCAGGGCATCTTCGAGGAACAGCGCGTGAGTGGCTGAAGAATAGGGAGGCTGCACGTGTTCCGGGCCAAATGAGCGTCTCATCTCTCTGTCACACGCACCACATGATCATGTATTGTCTGTAGCCATTTTAGAGATGTGAAACACAATGACAAGGGAAATGGGAGGACAGAGGACAGACTAGAGTGCAGCTGGCGTGAGTGAATATCAAAAAGGCATAAAGTTGCACAAGGCTACATTATACTCATTGATTGTGCGCTAACTCTATAGGATTTGGTCAATTATTACTTAACCTACATATAAAGGATAGCCAATTCGCTTGTTTTTTTTGGCATTCGTTTGGCCCACCAACAAATGTAAAGGCGAAACTGAAGACACTTGTTTGTTTTTTTAATTATTAACCAAAAATGTACAAAGTGATACTTACTAATGTTTCTCCAGGCAAATCCCCTCAAATGACAGAGATTATCTATAAGGGACGCATTTAAAGGTTTTAATTATTTATTTTTAGGGGAGAGAGGGAGATGGTCAAAATAGTTTAAGATAGAATATTACTAATCAAAATATTGCCCTCAAAAATCACATTTACACATAATCAAAGCACATTTATTTCTAAACCACTTCTTCCCTGATAATTCGTAATATAACTAGGGGTGCTCCAGGGACAAACCAACCCGATCTCATGTGAAAGCGTAACTATTTTACGAGGTGGTGATTTTGTATGAATTTGTACAGTGTGATTTTTAGAAAAACATAACATGGAGGTCCACCCTTAAAGGGGTGGTTCACTGGGTTTTTTTCTAGGCTTGATTGTTTTCATGGGGAACAGTCTAACAGGTATTAATGCTTCTTTTAAAAAAAAAAACGCATTCTTTTTCACATAATTTACCTTTATTCCACACAGCTCTGTCCCTTCTCTGAGAAATGGGCTGATCTTTTTCTGTTTTTACGAAGCCCCGCCCTCAGAATAGGCGATGGGCTCTGATTGGTTAGCTAGCCCAGTGTGTTCTGATTGGCTCAACCGTCTCTAGTGCGTGTCTAAACGTCCCGCCCCTCACCTCAGCGGCATGTGCTACGGTTGTATTGTAAACAAAGGCATCATTAATATGCTTATCAGTTTGAGCCCAATTGAGAAACAGAGGATATTATTGAAGAGGATCGTGCAGAACCTCTGCAAGCATGGCTTTTAGTGGTAGGCCTATGTTTTTGTTTGTTGTTGTATCATACTTTTAGATATGCTGTTGTAAATGCTACTGCTTATGTTAGCTTTTAATATACGGTTTTATCCTGATTAAAGCTTTAATACATAACAGCAACCGCATGTGCGTCCATGTTTAATGCGTCTCATAGCTATGTGAAAATAAGTGTATAATTGGAACAGTTCATTGTCGGAGCTGAGCTGAATGAGAGAGAGAGAGAGAGTGAGAGAGAGAGAGATGCAGAGTGTGCAGATCAGGGGAACGCCAGGAACAGTATTGAGAACCGCTGCTTTTGAACATTGATTTTGAAACTTGAGAATTTATTAGAATCGTTAGAAGACAGAATCGCGATTCATAAATGAACAGATTTTTACGTGCACCTCTAGTTTTCTCTTCCTCTTCTCTAAAGCAGCGCAGCATGGCATCGCCCCCTTTGCTGACTTTGCCTGAGGGCGGAGTTTATCTGGGTTTGTGATGTCACGAACCCGGGAAGTAACTCGTTGTAGTCCCTACCAGCCATTTTTGTAGGCATTAAACTGCCAGAATTTTAAAAGACGATATCACAGTTTGCATTGAACTTTCAGCTTCGTAACTTTGCAGATATTGTTTACGCTCAAACAGCAACATTACACACTAACTAACGTTAAAAAAGTGAAATTGCAATGAACCACCCCTTTAACCTCAACCTAAACCCTGAAGAGATAATAGGCTACTAAAACGTTCAAATGTAGAGTGCACACTGTATGAACTCACCAACACGTAAAATGGTTACGAATTGGCAGGAGAGTTTGTTGGACAATTTTTGAGTCCTGAGCTTCGCAAACTTCAAGTGTAAGATAACAAGCCAATGAAATCACATTTTCACAGCTGAATAGTGATGGCTGCCTTATAGTGAGCATATCATGACGTTTAGTGGGAGACAAATGAGCATGACGTGAGTAATGTTAAACACTGCAAAACAAAGAGAAAATGTGCATATAATCACCTGAGAACCAAAAGAGTCTATCCGCTGTGTGTGAGTATATGAGACGCTGAAGGCTGAGCTCATACGTGACAAGTGGTAGTTTTTCTATCCCTCAGTTTCCTCCAGAGGGGCTTTTAACTGTTATCTTGCTTCATGACCTTGGGAGCAGAAACCCGCAGAGACTGACGTTTCAATAAAGAGACAACAGTAAGCCAACTACCTGCAATCAGGCTTTTGTGCCACTTCGCTTCCTACCTGTTTCTTTCACCAATTATTCTCCACTGGCCTTGTCTTTCTCACTCTTGCTCATTCCGTTCTTCTTTCTCTTTCACTTCTCATCAACTCTTCACATCTTCCTTCCTGCTGAATCATCCTGCCTTTACGTGTCTGTGTATGTGACGCTATGAATGGAACGTCTGAGAACTTTATCCTTGTCATGTTACTACATAAAGCAGGCCATGAAGCTTCACATGAAATGTGTGGATATGTAACAGTTAGATATGATTTTTTTCCCCCACTTTGTTCAGCAAAATTTACTATATTGCTGCTCAATTCACTTGTCGACTGATTCCTCACCCACCCCTTGACCCCCATTGTAAAACAACATTTGTGTGGGACATTGGTTTTTAGTGAAGCTACAGTACTTGCACTGTTTGCATTCTTATACAGTATGTATATATATCAGCGAGAGATCGGCACAGTCGTACATACTGTCACAAAGCAGACATACTTTTTCCTTTTGAACACGCTACAGGCATCCCTAAAACAGAGTGCTCTATGCAAAATAAATAATTAAAAAAACAACCCAAAAGTCAGAGTAAGGAGCAAGTGTCTGGCGTAACAGCACTATTTATGACCGCAGGGGTTATAGGGAGTCTTGGGAGAACAGAAAGTCACTCACAAACAGACACTACATGACTAAAACTATGTTTTGACCTCCTACATATCACTTCCACATCCAGTATCATCACAGAGCATTGTTTTTCTTCACGTCGGGTGAACCGGGGTAACCAGCGACCTTTCGTGTCATAGGTATTTACTCCTATATCATCTAAAACAGGCAGTGGAATGCTTTTATCATAAACAACTGGATGAGTTTTCTTCCCAGAGTTCATTCTCTCCACATCCTTTATTCATCCCTTCTTCCATCTGCAGATCCAAAGTTCATTCTTATGTCCCAAAAATGGCAGCCAGGTGTGTGCCTTCATCTTAGCTCATTCTCTCCACCCCTCCTAAATATTTATCAAGGGACTGTGGTTTGAGGCTTGACAAGTAAACGAACATTTCCTGTAAAAAATTTTAAAACGCATTTTAGAAGCTCAAATTGGAAATTAAATATAAGTGTCAACCGATTCCTCTTCAAGATCATTGGTCACACTCTACAATAAGATTCAACTGGTTAACAGTTAATGCAATAGGTATCACGAGGTGTACATGGACAATGAACAACACTTAAAAAAAAAAACATTTATTTATCTAGTTAATGATAATTTATAAATATATACTTTTCAAAGGTTGGGGGCGGTAAGATTTTTATTAAAATAATTTTAATTTTATTAAAATCTTTTTTATTAAAAAGACCCATTTTATAATTTTTTTTTTGCAGGATCATTTATATAGATATAGAATAGAAAGTACTTTTAAACGAAAAGTATTTCTTTGAAACAGAAATATTTTGTTACATTATAAATGTATTTACTGTTACTTTTGATCAAAGCATACTTGCTGAATAAATGTATTCATATTTTATTGACGCTAGCCCTTTGAATGGCAGTGTACTATTGTTTGTTCATAATACATTAGCCGATGCTAATTTATACCACTTGAAATATAAAAAATGCACAAGAATAAGTAGAAATTAACATTAATCTAGATGAATAAATTCTGTTTGTTAGTTTGTGATACCTAATACATTAATTAATACTGTTAACAAATTGATCCTACTGCAAAGTGTTGCCAAATCATTCTTCTTACGTCCATCTCTGCTTCACATCCCATCTCTCTCTTTTTTCCTATATCATAACATTGCTACACGCATTCGTCTCCCTATGTACCAGGGCATGTGACCGCGGCGTCTCACAGCATTCACCACACACAGTGTGGCCACAGTGACAATTAGTGGTCAAAACTACGCATTAAAAGTGCTCTGCATCCTTTCTATTTCTCATTTTCTTTTTAAATAAGCCATAATTAGACTCAACAAGAAGTCTTCGAAAGCATCTGCTTCCCCAAAGATACCTGAACATCAAAAACGCACAACTTTATTACAAGCTGATCTTCGAAACCTTCCCCCATCAAAGGAAAAAAAAAAGGAAAAAAGCATTATTGCTCCACATTATCATGGTGGTTTTTCACCCTAAATCTACAAAAAGCCAAATACCTGACATGAACGTTTCCTACTCTTAGGAGCTAGGAGGTGATTAACTGCTTGTAAATAAAACAAACAAGACAACGGAAGTGTACAAACAAAAGATAAATCCTGTCCCTCTACGCAACCACGAGCTGACCTGCAGCAGAGCCCTGCTCACCTCCAGACTGCAGACCAACACACAACAGCGATACCACAAGACTTTCAGGATGTGATGTCAATTTTACTGGAGGTGAGGGCGGGGTTAGCGAGAGCGTTGTGGAGGGCAAGAATTTGTGACGAGCCCCTGCGTACCCCGTGAGCTTCTCCAGCACTGATTCCTGGGGTCCATAATTTGGGGAGGGCCGTTATTCTACAGGGACCATGCGGACATCCTGGTCCCTTTTTCTGTCAGTAGTTAATTGTCTCACTAAAGTTCAACTATCCCGCGGTGATGGGCGTGTTAATAAGACAAACATGCGTTCGGACACGCTAAGAGTTATAGTGGCCTGAGCCTGCAGTTACATATCATTTACTTTTTTTCATTACTGTTATTCATGATTTTCTATAATGACTTTAAACATTTAATTTTTTAATCCTCTTTTTCATATCTCATTTTCTAAAGAGTCATTGTGAAGTTTTTTTTCTGGGTTACTTCGCTTATATTCTCCCATCTCTCCAAGAGGCATCACAAAATCCGGGGCGCTGAGCGATCATTGGAGACGGTTTTGCGCAGTCGCACCCCTCGACGAATAGACCTCAGCATGTCCTCACCCTCCTGGGGCGCTTCGGGATCGAGTTGGGACTCGGGGCCCGGCGGGGGCTGGTTTGGAAGCGAGGGGAAAGGGAACTGGCCCTCACCTAATGCGTGAGCGCTGGCCACCAGCTCCCCGATCTTCTCCACCAGACTGTGGCGATTGGCAGCCAGCAGGTGATCTTCTTCACCCGGTTGGCTGTAGACGCTCATCTCTAAGCCGCCTACGCCCCCTGAGCCCCAGGCAGTGTTAGGCAGGCTCAGCCGCTTCGGAGAGGCCTTCACGTACTCCAGCGCTACCGGGGAGGCGTCATCCGGCACATAAAAGACACATTCTTCACTGCCCACACGGGCAGGAGGGCCAGTGTACCCGCCGGGTGAGTCAGGCACAGTGGGGGTCTTGACTGGCACGATGGGTGGGCGTATAGGAATAGGGCCAGCGTTGGAGAGGGTGCGCCTCACCCCGGGCTTCGTAGACGGCGTTCGGCGAATGGTGGCCGTACCGGGAATACCGCCCCCTCCGCCGAGTGGTCCGCCCAGAGCACCCATTCCGCTGGGCAGGCCTGCTGTGCTGGCGGGACGCTTAGTCTGTATCATGCGGCGGTAGTTCTGGGCGATATTACTGTGACGGGGAATTGTGGAGGATTTATCAAATTCAGCCTGACCGTCGGCCTCAGTATCTCCGTTCACTGAGTAACCATCGTAATCGGAGCCTGACAAAAAAAATCCCACTTGTAACTTATCAAGTCTTATAACTAGTTTTAAATTCAAATAATAAAAAGTAAACATCTGGGGTAGTTCACCCAAAAATTTAAATTCTGTCAATAATTACTCACCCTCATGCTGTTCCAAACCCCTAACTTCGTTCATCTTTGGAACACAAATTAAGATATTTTTGATGAAATCCGAGAGCTTTTTGACCCTCCATAGACAGCAAGAGAACTACCACTAGTTCCAGAAACGTAGTAAGGACATCAATAAAAAGTATTCTCGTAGCTTCATAAAATTACGGTTGAACCACTGATGTCACATGGACTGTTTTAACGATGTCCTTACTACCTTTCTGGGCCTTGAACATGGTAGTTCCCTTGCTGTCTATGGAGGGTCAGAAAGCTCTCAGATTTCATCAAAAATATCTTAATTTGTGTTCCAGTCTTACAGGTTTGGAATGACATGATGGTAAGTAATTAATGACAGAATTTTCATTTTTGGGTGAACTGTCCCTTTAAGGCCCATTCACACCAAGGCTGATGACGATAATGATAACTACAAAGTTTTACAAATCTTTCTGATAATAAGAGAATAGGGAAGTCCACACCACAGCTATACTTATAATGACACTGTGGAACGATATTGATAAAATCACTTTCAGATTTTTTTTTTCTTCTAGCTGATGAACAATAAGTACATTAACAGCCAATTAGAATCCACCTGATTTTAAAGAGCTTGAGCATTTAGGGTGGCAGACGACACAACTGCGGTGCATGCTTGTAATATACAAAATTGGTGTTGACGCTAATATAGTTAGCGCTATAGTTATACTTATCATTCTTGGTGTTAACAGGCTTTTGCTAAGAACACGCGAGTATTTTTGACTGTATTACCCTGTGAGGGGATGGTATCTTCAGAGCAGGATGGGGTGGTTGTCTGAGTGCTGTATCCACTAGAGTACTGAAGAGAGTCTCGGCTGCTCTTCTGCTGCTCCATGCTGAGGCCTCGTGTCAGGACCATAGCTAGATCACTAGCAGCTGGGGAAACCTCCTCACCATGCTGCACCATGACACAATACATACATACAGTTACATCAAGCACAGACTCAATGTGTGTGCATATGTAGACCTAGACTTTGAATCTTAAACTATGAACATTTTATGAATAAAAACTCAAAGAAATACATTATAAAAATAAATATAATTTCCAATCAATTATGTAAAAATATTATTAAAATGTATTTATTTATGATATATAAACTGTTAACTGTGAGTCAGGCATTTTTATCCAAAAGTGCTTAAAATGCACATCAATACACTATTACACTGGGGTGGAAAAGAGAAAAGAAAAATGACATGTTCTGTGATTAATGTATATCCATTGTTGGACACTTTCGACTAAACAAGCTAGTGACAGTGTGCATTTTAAGAGACTTTTTAAAAAATTCATTATTATAGTGTTCTCGACTGTTTTGACTTCAAGGCCCCCCATTGTCAAAGATAATGTTTCAAGGCCTACCAAGATACAGTATTTATGGTACTTCAGCTGTATTGACATAGCTGCTCATTTTCAAACGTTTTTATTTTAAAGCAAATAGTAGTGGCAATGTATTAAAATAATTAAACAATTAAATAATTCCAGAAGTGTTATTCAGGGCTTACACTTTGTATTTCCATTACATTTATATGACTTTTCTAGTTGTTTGTGATTGCAGAGATTTTATGTAAAAATAGCAATTTCTACCTAAAAAAATATATTTTAGAGCTTGACACAACTTAACATTATAAAAAATTCCTTTTGAAATAACTTTTTAAAGAATTTATTAGTTATCAAAGCTTGTCCAAATATAGAAATCTGGTTTTACAAGACCACGAGAACTCTGGTTCTTACTTAAAAATGCAAGTTGGTAAGGAAAACAAGTGACGTTTTAGATGTTTTAGCTTATTTTTAAGTTTATTTTTGTTATTTTAAATATTTTTAAGCCATCTTGTTGTCCACTAGGAAGAGTGCAGATGCCCCAGGTGGAGAACCATTGCATTATTAAGTACTCAAGGCCACAAGCAGCCCATATTTGAAGAAACCAGCGTTAAGCAAACGGGTACATTTTGTCTTCATCCACACCAAATGATGAATGTTTCATATATGGTGACAGTTACCTTGGCAGCTGTAGTGGCCGGGTTCATCCTTGGCCTCTGGGGGTCTTCTGAATGCATCCCAGTATACCCCTGTGACTGAGGAGAGGTTTCTGCCTCCCTCAGCCTATCCAGAGGCTCCTTCCTCCTCTGAAGTGTGCTGGTCAGCGGCTGCTCACTGGAACCTACCTTGGACCAGTCCTTAGGAAGCAGACGCAGTTAATTCAGGTCAGTGTATAGCAACAAATGCAACGGTCTCAGGGGCGAGAGAGAAGACTGGTCCACGATCCAGCAGTTTGAGTGTCCTTTCAACAGATACGGTCTTATGTGTTTTAGAAAAAGCCCAATCTCAGTGTTTGCTTTACTGTTTGATAGGTACCTTCCGTGGTCTGCTCGGTTTAGCAAATCTCACAGCCAGAGACTTGAAACCAGGATCAAACAGCCAACAGAAAAGGTGTGTGTTAAAAAGCAAAATGAGGTAATGAATGAAGTTAAGCAGAATGAAATCAAAACAAAAACACTGTCGGTAAGTGTTATTCAGGAGCCACATATTCAACACACAAGAGCTCACACAAAAAGAAGAGGAAATGAACAAAACTGCAATGAGAATTGCCAATGGAGACAAACCTTCCAGCAAGGAACCTTGGATGTGGGAGAGGGTGTGTTGGATCCAGGGGAGCGGTTATAGAGTGGGGACGCAGGAAGTATGACAGAGAAAGGCCTGATGGAGCCAGTGTGAGAGAGAGCAGGGCGGAAGGTAGCGAAGGACGAGTCAAACTGCGGAATGGAGAGATAAGATCGAGACCGTCAAGAGTAGCCAGAGACCCCCTTCCCTTTACTCATGGGCATGGGAGCCTTTGTGTGTGTGGCCTTGCAGATACATGCTGAGAGTGGCAGGAAAGATCAGATCTGATGACAGCACAAAGATGAAACCGGCAAGAGCAGACCCCAACCTGCCAATCAGCAGCACAAACCTCACGGGTCCCACAGACAATCCAAAATATCACTGACAGTTTCAGCACACGTATGTCTTATGGACAGAGTACTTGATACTTACTGTGGTTGGAGAGCTACACTCACTAACTGACTGGCAGGTCTCAGATGCTTCTGAGGACGCTGAACTTGACGACTTCTGAAAGAGAAACCATGAAAGATGATATGTCAGCAGGGAAACATTTAGAGGGTCTCTGTTTGAATTCTTTGGATATTTTATGGTACTGCTTGCAATCAATGGACACTTCCTTAACAGAAAAATCACATTTTAAATTAATAACAGTTTTTAAACAAAGGACTTCAAGTCCTTCAACTTGTAAAATTTGGTGTTGCCAAGTAAATGACCATCAGAGAGAAGGTTCAGAGAAGAGTTTGGGGTCACTAAAAGTAATTGATATTGATTGATTGATAAATTACAGTTTAAACTGCTAGAACATTTCATAATATTAGTTTTTTACTGTATTTTAATCAAATGCAGCCTGTGTGACCATACAAAACTTCAAAAACATTAAAAATATTCAAAAACATTTAAAAATCTTGAAACACAATGAAACACAAAATAGAAGGGAAAAAAAAACAAAGATTAAAGATTGTTGTTATTTTGTTGCCATCTGCTGGTTTTTTTCATATCTATTACTACTATATAATTGTTTTATACTTTTTTGGTTAGTGGTTTAAGTAAAAAACCTCTGTAACTAATTCAGCCCAAAATTCTTGACTTCATTACATTTTGTTTCATATGTAATTCTTTCTTTGATCTTTTTTATTTTATTTTATTAACTTTATGTTTGAACATTTTCCATCAAGGTTACATTGGCAGAATGCTCAGCATTCAAAATCAAAACTGAGTGATAATGCCATTTCCAACACATATAACTTAAAAGCCAAACTAAAAAGATTCAAAGGTTCATTCTTTCCTGTGCGTACATTACCATCTAAAAATTATATGCATGAATCATGAACATCGCCTGGCGTGTTTCTGAATTATTTATGCTAGTTTGAACCTCAATATGCTTATCCTTCATTGTGTGTCACGCCTCGGCCATACGTTTGGTAGATTCACAGCCAGGCAAAATCCCCTTTTCTTTCCATGGTGAGAGAAAGTAGCATGTGAGCTCCGAGACAAGTGCATTTCTCTTGCTTTACTCCAAAGAAAGTGCATAAGAATTCACTGCCTCTGTGTATATATTGTAAAGCCTATGTTCCATATACAATGCTTTACAAGCACATTTCAAGCTCTGAACTGTTTCCTGTCACAATTTTCCAGAGAATGTAAAAAATCTGCCTCACTCACATTCTGACCATTGGTAAAAAAAATTGTTTGATATACAGTGGTTCATACCCTTGTCCACAAGAGGTCACTATTAACTTGCAGACAGGGAATGTTGTTGTTTGAAGCTGGGGCACAGATGTGCAGTAACACTGTGGTTTCCTCAAGAAATTATATGGGGCAGTCATTGCAATGCCAGCAGGAAAAGATTTAGCTCTATACTTTGGTGGGCTCACAATTACAACTTCATTATCTGATATAATTTGGGTTTTTAAATGTGTGTATATATATATATATATATATATATATTATTTACTTATTTATTTATTTTTTTCTTACAAATATACAGTACAAACACTGCTTCACAAAAGTTTTGAGACACAATATTAATACTTTTATTTAGTAAGGATGCATTAAACTGATCAAAAATGTCAGTTTCAAGTTAAACATTAAATCAGCACAACGGTTTTCAAAACTGACAATAATAAAAATGCTTCCTGAGCACCAACTCAGCATATATTAATGATTTCTGAAGGATCATGTGACACTTGAAGATTCTGCTGAAGCAGTAATATTGTGAAGTTTTTCCATCACAGGAATACATTTCTTTTTAAAATATATTAAAATAGAAAACAGCTATTTTAAATTGTAATCATTGTTTACAATATTCCTGTTTTTACTGTATTTATGATCAAATAAATGCAGGCTTGTTGAGCATAAGATATTCTTTCAAAAATATTCCAACAGTACTGTAAATAAATATGATAAATAAATATTTACCATCTATCACAACAATAAATATTATAGCGCTATTGTTTTACATGGGTTAGTTTGACTGACAAATTAATTCACTCTTGAGAAAATCGGTTAAATAGACCTTAGGTTAGACACCACATTGAATTTAACACGGATGAAAAAGACTATGTAATGATAGACTTATAGTCTTTACAATGGCATGCACTGTATAAATCTCTATACATATTTTTTTACAAGTTTCAAATCTGTTTTTTGGAGGGTTTTTTTTCTCAGAAAGACGTTTTGTCAGCTGAACAATCGCTATGTGGTTAAACAATAGTACAATTCACTGAACACAGTACTTCTATCCCTCACAGCCTTGTTTTCATTCCTGTCAAAAAATAAGGTCTCTACCTTCATGTTACCAACATTTCTACAGTACCAATAAGCCAGCAGGAAATAAATACTTTGAAATAAATACCTGGCTGGTTATATCGGAGGGCATGGGTGATGGGGGTTTGGAGTAGACGTTGGCGTCCTGGGAGATGAAGCCGGAGTCGTGGGAGGAGACGCTGCTGAGGCGGTGTGCAGCGGTTGTTAGCGGTTGGGCCAGGCTGCGGTAGCGACAGGACGAACTGGGTGAGTGAGTCTGAGAGCCACCAGAGGATCGAGAGGCGCTACTATGGGTGCTGTTTACACTGCTGCAGGAGCAAGGGAAAGTGCAACAGGGCAGAGGACCGGGGTGCAAGGGAGGGGTACGGAGGGCAGGTTATATGGCGATAAGTGTGAACCACAGCAGGAGAGGGTTTTACAAGATGACAGGAACATGATTGACAGATGAAGTTAAGAAAACAATTACATGATAATGATTAACAAATAGTTAAGGGGAAAAAAAGAGATGGACAAACAAGGGTCTCAAGCAGTGATGGGGTTGATGGGTAAGGATGGAGGTCAGGGTGGGGGGCAAAGGGAGAACATATGTAAGACCAAGTTTGACAGGTGTGACACAGGGGGCCTAGTATGGAGATTGAAGGTTGTGTTCAGTTGTGTCGGCCTTGCGCAGCCAACACACTTGAATCAACCCCCTTGACTCCATGCGAGGCGGCACAAACAAACACAAACAGGTACTAAATGACACTATTAAAAAGGAAGCCTTAATTGGCCCTGGAGCCAAAGCAAAACACTAATGGTCTAATCAAAAACTCTACAGGGACTGGTTATGTAAAAGTGATCTTGAAATGCTTTCAATTTGTTTTGAAGTAATTATTTTATATTCCAGGTTAAAAACAGCCCCGGAATATTAGACAGATTCTGTTGTTGAGGTTCTTAAATGGGTTTTAACCTGGAATACTCATTTAAGAGAGCAAAGCACCGAAGTTACATTAATCAGACACACTAATTGCTAGTGAATTATAAAAGTAATAAACTCATATTAAACAGGCTACTTTAGTGTAATTGTGTTAATTGTAGCTAATATGCTTCATCCTTGACTTCATCAAAAGGAATCAATGGATGAATAACATGAATCAATAAGCATTAAACTGTGCCTGTTGAAAGCATCATTACATTATCATATACAAAGCAACATTTTCATGACCGCAGTGCTCTGTCTCTAATATGTTGTTGGGGTTACATGTGATGTCAACATACAATGAGATTGTGTAGCGCAGCAGCAGTAGCATCAGCAGCCCCCTCTTTCTCAGTAAACACACACACACACACACACACACACACACACACACACACACGTGCATTCAAAATATACACACACTCACAAAATATAACCTGGCTGGAAAAAACACTCAGGATAGTAGCTAGCTTCTAGCTAGTCATTTAGTTTATTCGGGATGGTTGCTGGCATTAGCATTCCGTTTAAAAGCATAGTTTACCAAAAATGACTAGTCTGTCGTCATGTACTCACTCTCATGTCATTCCAAACCCATTAAGATTTCTGTTCCTTTGAAAAGTCCATTCCACTAAAACTCAGACTCTTCAAAAAGTTCATAAAGAGATTTTACGTCTGTAGACCATATTTGATGTGTGTTGATCAATGTTTACATGTAAATAAAAGCCTAGATTAAATCTGTTCATCATATCAAGTGATTTTGTCTCTTCAGAAGACTTGGATTAAAGTGCCTGATTCATATGGATTACGTCTATGAAGATTTTTTGAAGTATTATAGTTTCGGTGAAATGGACTTTCAATGGAGGGACAGAAATCACTCAGGTTTCACCGTGTTTCGAAGATGAACAAAAGATTTCTGGAAAGGTTTAAAATGACATGAGGGTGAGTAAATGATGACCGAGTTTTTCATCTTTTGGTGAACTATCCCTTTAGCATGGTATGAACAGCTGGCATCTGGTTTGTTTTCTGATCCAGGATGGTCTACAAGCTTAGACCAGCTTAAACCAATGAAATACCAGCTACCATTCCCAAGACACAGCATAAGCTTGATTCTCCAGCAGGGTAGTTAGTTACAGTACAAGTACAAGCTGCCATTTGGCAACAAACAGCAATTTTTGAAGCAATTACAGCAACGAAAAGCCAAGCAACATAGTACACATAGCACAAGCAACAAATCTGTCCAGCAGAAAAAGGCTAATAGCCAGAAATAAAGATTTAATAAGTGTGCTAACATTACTGGCAGCATAATGTCTCTACTTCTTTATCACTCTCGCTCTCACCTGCACATGCTGCTTTTCCTGGAGCCGGAGCTGCTGGGAGAAGAGGGGGGAGTCTGGTAGGACCAAGAGTAATCAGAACCCTTAAGATCTTTTATTACCTGAAAGAAAGGGAGAGAGACAGTCTTAGTGTTAATGGTCTTACTGTAAAGCACTGTACAGTACATGCTACATGGTGACTGGTGTATATAAGCATGTGCACCTGCTCACTGGCTGGGGGCAGTTTGTGGGGGTCTGAGGTTAACACGGTGAGATCATCAATAATGGCCTGGAGATGAGTGATCTCTCCCAACATGGCAATCTCTCCATTCTAACGTCACACAAGGACAGAACCACAAGTTCATAGATCAAAACTTAATAGAACATCACATAATGCCATTTAAACGACAGACAGTAACACATTCTATGAGCTTTATATATTTATGTACCTATTTATTTGTTTGTTTATTTATTGTGCTTCAATTAACTCTTAAGACAGGCTCTTCATTATAACAATCATATACAATATAAAAAAATTTTGATGAGGAATTTCCTCTTTACATTTCAAAACATAAAAATCTTTTTTTTTTTTAATGATTTCATGTTCAAATACATTTTGTAGATAAATCTAATACAAAAATTAATAATTGGCAAGTAGTAATACGTAGTAATTATTTTACAGAACAAACTAATATTATTATTACTTTAGTATAGGGAGCAATTCTCACTATTCACTAGTTGCTTATTAGCATGTTTCTTGAGCATCAAATCAGGATATCATAAGGAATATGTGACCGGAGACTGGAGTAATGGCTGTTTGAATAAATTATTATTATTAAATAAAATATATTAAATACACAGTTATTTTAAATTGTAATAATATTTCACAATATTGCTGTTTTTTACTGTATTTTGTATCAAATAATTCAGCCTAGATGAGCATAAGAGAGTTACACTTTATTTTACAGTGTTTTTTTTTTATGCGTAACTGTACATTTGAGTACTGAGTAATATTGATTAACAACGTACTTACTATAGATTAGAATTAGGGTTTGGTCTAGGGTTAGTTGCCTGTAATTATGCACCATTTACTGTTATTACTATAGTAAGTACATGTAACACATATAACTGTCACGAATCCTGTCCATGGCCTTCCGTTCAATCACCACCAGAGGTCACCCTTCCATTCCATTGACTCTTGCACTACACAAACTGTTGCACTTCACCCGGACTACAGTTCCCATCATCCATTGCACTGATTACACACAGTTGATTGCACACAGCACCGATTGCACACAGCTGCCATCAATCACACCTTCCCTATTTATACACTCACTCTGATCCCCGTCAAGCTGCCGAGTATTGTTTAGCGCTTATCGCTCATCATGTGATAGCTACGTTACAGAGCCATTTCAGAGTGTTGTCTTGTTCCTTAGTTCTAGTCTAGTTACGTCTAGTTTGGTGCCTGATTGCCTGTTTCCTGATCTCTTGCCTGTCGTGGATTCTTCTATTGCCTACCTCTCTGGACATTGTTCGCCGATCTCAGACCCACGCTAGCTTTTGGATTACTCTTCGTCTTGCCCTTATATACCTGTTTGCCATTGTCTGAACCTTGCCTGTTTTATGACCACGCCAAATAAAAAGCTTGCACATGGATCCGTATGTCTCACGTCTTGTCAGCCCCGTAACAGAATACTCGGCCTCACAAGGATCCAGCAGCTTTTCCTGTGGACATTGGTCAGGTATGGACACTGCAAAACTTTTATTAGCCTTAAAGCAGGGCACACGCCCGCTTGAAGGCTATATTCAAGAGTATCTGGACATTGCGTGTTATTCTGATCTGCCAGATTGTGTACTGATAGACTTTTTTTGTGATGGAGTAAATGAACCTTTAAAGTCACGATTAACCCGTGAGGGTCCCCGTTCTTCTCTAAGCTATTTTTTGGATTTTGCTCTGCTGTGTGTCGACTCCGTGTTCACGGTGGGTGTTGCGGAGAAACATGACACCGGGTCTGCTTGTGTAATGGCGGCCGCACTAGAGCACGCTCACAAGATGGCAGACACAACAGCGCCCCGTTATGTCACAGCAGATCAGATCATCATGAGTCAAGTCAAGTCACAATTGATCGTTCTTCTCTAAGCTATTTTTTGGATTTTGCTCTGCTGTGTGTCGACTCTGTGTTCACGGTGGGTGTTGCGGAGAAACATGACACCGAGTCTGCTTGTGTAATGGCGGCCGCACTAGAGCACGCTCACAAGATGGCGGACACAACAGCGCCCCGTTATGTCACAGCAGATCGTCATGAGTCAAGTCAAGTCACAACTGATCGTCATGAGTCAA